TAATAGCTATGGCCTCCACCCTACTAGCGCTGGCCACCAACATACTACAGCAGGCCTCCACCCTAATAGTGATGTAGTAATGATGGCGTCCACCCTAACAGCGATGGCCTCCACCCTAGCAGTGGAAGCCAACTCCTTCCCCCTTAAATACAAAAGGAGTTGGTGAAATCGCACTGAACTCACCTGTGTGGAGGATCACCACCGTGACGCCCTTGGACATGAAGCGACGTAGAGGTACTTCCGGTTTGCCTTGGACATCACCGCCGCGGAAGCTTTGACACAACGCCGCTTGTTTTCGTTCAGTTCTGTTTCGTCAGGGCAAAGGTAACAGTATTCCATCCTTAGGTCCTTTTACTCTCGGGAGATATATGTTGTGCATCCCTTTGTCGAAGTTTTTTGGAATCAGGAGCAAGGAGCCCCTAGCAGCTTTTTGTTCCTAGTAGTAAGGCCAGGAGACCCTAGTAGCGTCCTTGCTCCTAGTAGCGATGCCAGGAGCCCCTAGTAGCTTCTTGTTCCTAGTAGTTTTCATCCCTCCATACAGCTGGGATCTACTTGGCGCCTGTGCAGGTGAGCCCAGTCTTCGGATCGCAGAAGGGATCGTGAACCACACTGCTGTAGTCCTGGCGATCGCGGTCAGATGCGGTCGAAGATCGATAGAACTTCGACCCAATAGGGGCTGAAAACCGATGGCCTTCAGGCTACGAGCGATGGCCCTCCAAGCTACTTCTGGAATGGATCAACCTACTTCTAATGCAAGACCACTTCAGAGTGGCCATCAGGCTCGACCTTTTGCACCTCCCAGACATGGCACACTTCAGCATCGTTGCTGTTGTTCTCCAGGTGGAGAAGCCTACGAAGCCTACTCTGCAAAAGTGCTGATGCAACCCAAACACAAGCACCCTTGCATGGTCGATACTTGAAGCCATGCACCCGAAAGCACTGGGCTTGACATCGAGGAGCCCAGTGGCTGGATCTGACGCTTCTTTCTGGAGCCTCCTGCCTCGACATTTTCACAAGGAACTACGAATCAAATGGCTCGGATTCCCGGGTGCATGACCGAGCCATTTGAGGGCCCTCGAACTCACGGTGTCCGCATATTTTGGCCTTCCACATCGATGCTCACCGTCGGGTGGTTCCCGAAGGCTCCGAAACCTCCCTGACAAACCCTTCTGCTCTTGTGAGCAACCACATGGTCCAACCAAGGACAAGTCACTGCTATGCAAAGACATTGTTGGTTCCTGGTGCTGGTGCGAACCGCAGCTTTCCTAGATGTCCCCACTGAAAAACCAATGGGGAAACATGGGGGTGATGAATCCATCTGGTCTTTCCCAAAAAAAGACCCTGGGTCGAACATGTCTGGAGCCATGCCGCTTCTTACACCAAAGCAACCCACCCACATCACCATTCCGCATCCTGTCCCACCAAGCTGCTACCTAAGAGCGATGGCCTCCAACCTACTAGTGTCCTTGCTCCGGTCGTAGCGATGCCAGGAGCCCCTAGTAGCTTCTTGTTAGTAGTAAGGCCAGGAGCCCCTAGTAGCGTCCTTGCCCCTAGTAGCGATGGCCTCCATTCCTTCATATTCCTCCTCCCTCCACTCGTGCCTTGCCATGGCAGGGTGCATCGGTGATGATCACCGCGAGCTTCTCTTGCGCCGTCCATGGCAAGTAGGACGCAGCCAACAAGGCGCCTGGCAAACCGAGACCTTTGCGCTGCGACATCCTTTTTTGGGTACCAGTGGAAGTGGAATCCTCTTGACAAAAGAAGCGTGACATTGGTTGAATTGCTTGTCCGAAGACGAGGTAACGTTCATTGCAGTCATCCCTTTGGCCCGAAGGATTCAGAGAATCCCGGTGATCTCCGGTCGAAACCTCGTTCGATGACCTCGTCCTGTTGACCTCGTTGGGTCGGAGCGGGACGAGATCCCAGTTGGTTGGACCGTCCAAATGGCGCACTGCCAGAAGCTTCGGTCCATCATCTAAGGAACCCAAACGAATAGCGTGAGCTGTTCTGCGTTCAGTAGCTAGTAGCCGATGATCTAGCAGCTTGCTGAATTAAGCAGTAGGGGGGCCACTACTGGGAAAAAGAAGCTATTTGCTACTAAATCACCTGAGTTTCTGGATGAGATGGGATAGGATTCCTGTTCGAGCTCGCCTGTATCAGTTAAGTTTCCCTAAAAGTCTAAGAACCAAATCATTAGCGTCAGCTATCCTGCGTCCACTTACTAGCAGCGTCCACTTGCTACTACTAGCTACCTGCCTAGCTAACCTACCTACTACCTACCTCTACTCGCGGCCTACCCCCTCGAAAAAACGAGTCTTTTGGATGAAATGGGATTCCGGCTTGAGCTCGCCTGTGAGCTCCTCCGGGATCTGTCCTCCGTGCCCAAGGCCCTGGTCGATGAAGCTGCGCAAAGCCGCCCTTGGTCGTGTTGGGCGGCTTTGAACAGGGGTGGGAAACAGTATGAGTCTGTTAGTCTAAGAACCACCACACACTTCCAGGAATGAGAAAGTAGATGAGTTTATTGACTGTGAGGTCTCTAGTTTGAGAAAACACACATTTGTGTTAGCGTTATAAATGAAGTCAACTTGCCTGGTGCCACTGCATGTATGGTTCTTGCTGCAGCACAAGTCTGTGTCAAAGAACTATCCAAATTGAACAGTTGTCAGTCTTGGTTTAGGGCTTTGCATAGTTGGTGTAGATGTGGGAGTGCATGGTTGCTATGCCATGCATCTGGGCTGATCTGCTGATGCCTGCTCATGCTCCATCTGAGCTGGGAAGCTGATTCCGACTTCTCATGTGTAAAGCTGACCATTCACCCACCTGCCGATGCACCGTCCTCGGGCTTCGTCGTGAAGCGGCGACCTGCACCTCCCGGTCTTACCCGCCGCGGCACGCGTCCTTGGTGAAGGTGCCGCCCAGGTTGAAGTCGGCGGCCGTGAGGCTCGAATCATGCTCCCGCTTGATCTCCTTGAAATGCGTGAGCTCAGAGGCCAAATGGTGGGGTTTTGGAGGCCTCAAAGTCTCAATTCGGAGTCTAAAGCTGGAGAAAGAAAAGGACCTGTTTAGAACCTGAACCAACCTGAACCAACTTCAATACCCATGGCAGGGAATCATCCACCATTCTTCGAAGAAGGGCAATCTCCTGGTGGCTTCTCTGCTTTGGGAGGCCTTTGGGAGCCAATTGGTGAGATGGACTGAGTAATGATTTTTTTCTACTAGCGTCCGATCGCTCCGTTCGTAGTGATGCCCTTTGCTCCTAGTAGCTTCTTGCTCCTAGGAGTAAGGCCAGGAGCCCCGTTCGTAGCGTCCTTGTTCCTGTGAGAAAACAATCATTACTCAATCCAGGTATGCAATCCTCCAGCCTAATAGCAATGCTGGGAGGTTCTGAGCTGGGAAGCAATGGACGACCCTGCAATAGCATACTCTTAGATTGACTGCGATTGTCCTAGGACTCCACCCGGCACATTCGCACTTGTGAAGATGCCGTCTCATCCCTGTCTGGTGGCTCAAAAAATAGATAATATACATCCATGCAAAACTATTCAGCACTCAAACATGAATACTAGCGATGGCCTCCAACCTACTAGCAATGGCCTCCAACCTGTAACCTACTAGCAATGGCCTCCAACCTGCTAGCGATGGCCTACCAGCGATGGGTACTACATCCATGCATGGAAGCCTTGGCTTCCGTCTCCTTCCCGCCAAAGGCGGCCACCACCGGCCGACCCAACTTGGCCGTGTCACCTAGGAGCCAGCGGTGGCTGTGACAAGCGTGCGGCGCTCGGGGGAAAATCAAAAGGATGGTTGGAAGAGCCTAAAATGCGACTCTCATGATATGGGCACCACTGAAATCGTTGCCAAATTTCACGTGACCATAGTGGACTCCCATGCCGTGCTCACTCTCCCAGATCAGCGGAATTTTACGCCCAACACGGACGTTTGCTTCACGTTGCTTTGGAATCTGCTCTTTGTCAGAGCTGGTGTCGGAGAAAGTGGCGGATGAGGATCTAGTCCATCCACTCTCTTTCAAGTGTTGAGCTTTTGAGCTTCTTGCTTCAGACTTCGAATATGTCAGTTGAACGAAACAATGTTTCAAGGACAAATCCTGGGAGGGGGTCCCCTCTCGTTGACCCATACCCCCCCCAAATATCCTCCAAAAGCATATGAGCATCTGAGCGTTGGGCTTCATCGGCTAGTTGAGTTGATTGTGAGTAGCTTGGATCCTGCCGATCCCGTGCCGACCCGGTCGAAGCCAAGTGCAGTCCGGCCGACTGTCCCAATCGTTGTAGGCCACCGCTGACATCTCTAGATCCTCTGTGCGCTTTCGGCCGTGGGAAACCTTGGGCCTGCTGCCCATACTCCCAACCATCCACTGAACAAGTGGGTTCACATACTTCTTTTTGTGGTCCTTTGGGCTTTTCTTTCACTCGTGTCGACTTTGGAGATGGCCCCGAATTCTGCATCAAACCCAACATCTTTCCAATTGTCCCAACTAAACACCTGACAAATCCAAGTCATGATGAAGTCCCCCCCCCCCGGTTTCTTGTGGGCCACGATGATCGGATGATCCCAAAAGAGCGCCTGGTCTGCTCTGGTCAAGGGTGCGGAGGATGGATCAAGACTCTCCAACCGAAAACTGATGCGGAGGATGCGCATACATATTTTATCCAGAAGTTGTCAGAGGGGCCTTGTTTCTGCAACTCAGAAGAAAGTCTCTCTCTCAGTCTCTCTCAGTCTGTCTCTCTCTCTCTCTGTCTCTCTCTCTCTCTCTTACACTGATCCCAACCTCCTTTGAGCATCAGCTACCGACCAAAAGAGCAAGAATGTTCTCAGTGACGGGCCGGTGAACCACTATATATTCGATTTCTCAGCCAGGTTGAAGCCTCAAACTCCACCGTAGAGCTTGTTCTCTGAGGTTCCTCTCTGCAGAATCTTTCCGATGTGGTCACCCTAAGCCCATCTTTTAGGGGCATGAAACAACAGTTGGTCTTTCTCGTATTTCTTGAGGACGCCTTGCAGCCCAGAGATCCTACACAGCTCACACTCCCACTAAGTCCACCATCTATGGCCATCCACTTGGCCCAGGTTCAATGCTGGCATTCGGCCAGGGCAGCTGCAGACGGCTGACAGACTCGATGATCTTCTGGACGCTTTCCTCGGGCCGTGGAAGTCCACCGGCCCAGCCCAGGGAGGCCATCCGCTTCTTGTTCCGTTCGTAGCGATGCCAGGAGCCCCGAACGTAGCGTCCGATCGCTCCTAGTAGTAAGGCCAGGAGCCCCTAGTAGCGAACATTGTTATTAGTAGCTTGGAGAAGAGTGAGTGAAAACCGTGGACGACCTCTCTCACATGATGTGTCACTCGTTTTCATCTCATTTCCGCTTGGCTTTCCGCTCCGGATCATGCTCTCCACCCCGTGGGTGGCGTGGGACGTGTGGCGCCCCCACGGTGCCAAGCATCTTTGGCCTGCGCGATCTGCGTCCGCATCGACCCCGTGTAATCCAAGATGAAGCACAGCTGCGCCTGAGTCCCGATCGAAGGGTTTCTCTTTCTGGGCGATTGATGGGCCAGATGTGGATGGCTGGTTGCTCCTTCAGACTAGAGATTACAGCATCCAATGAACCGTGCCATGGGTGGTACAGAAGAACATCATCTGAATCTGAAGGTGCTTTGGAACCAGACAAGCCTTGAAACCCTCTTACAGACTGTAGGTCTTGGATTCACCTAACCTTCATGGTCCTTTTTGGGGTTTGACCCGGTCCCACCAGAGATGCTCCCTTCGAGCCCGTTTTCCAAGGCGCGGTGACGGTGGTGACCTCGGTGGAAGGCACCTGGAAGGTCTCCGACATCTTGTGCAAACTGTAGACGCAGGGAATCTCCTGAAGCTACGAACGGAGCGATCGGACGCTACGTTCGGGGCTCCTGGCCTTACTACTAGGAGCAAGGACGCTACGTTCGGGGCTCCTAGCCTTAGGAGCATTCTTACTACTAAGTAGCAAGAAGCTACAAGGAACACATCGACATGTACGGATGCTTTGACCCGTCACCGTGGGCGACCGCCACTCTGTTCGTCGGACGTTTTCGTGGGCAGAAGGCATGGAGCAGTGGAGCAGTTGGAGCTGCTTTCGAGGTCACAGGTCAGAAGTGGTCAATAGGTGCAGTGCTTCGGTGGGTGGCATTGGAAGGTACAAGGTGGTCTATTCATGATTTTCTCACATGCTTTCACCACTGTCTCCGCCTCAGGGTCCACCCCAGCATCCATGGCCAGTTGCAGCGCCACCTCAGCTGTAGGACCAGTGGGTACGAAATGAACAGAAAGGCAAACATCCTAGTAGCGTCCGATCGCTCCTAGTAGCGATGCCCTTGGCTCCTAGTAGTAAGGCCAGGAGCCCCTAGTAGCTTCTTGCTCCTAGTAGCGATGCCAGGAGCCCTAGTAGCTTCTTGTTCCAAGTAGTAAGGCCAGGAGCCCCCTAGTAGCGTGTTTGCTCCTAGTAGCGATGCCCTTTGCTCCTAGTCGCGTCCTTGCTACTAGTAGCGATGCCCGGGTTCCTAGTAGCAGGCCTCTAAGAGATTGCTCGGGTCTCATCCTATTTTGAGTGGTCTCATTCCAACTCAAGCACTGATCTTGGAGGCGTGCCATGTATTCTGAACCTCCAGGATCCCATCCCAAAAAAGAAGCTGATCTATTGAATGAGGGTAGGGCTTTTGTCTTCTCAAACACGTGCGATCAAGACGTGATCGACCTGGAGCTGTTCGACAGGCACCCGGGTCACCGGACTAAGTATCGCATCCCTCTGCGGCCCTCGAAGCTTTCCAACAACTCCTTCGGTCGCCGCCGCCAACGCGTAAAAAGAAAGACCACTCCAACTGCAACTGCGGAGTATAACGAGTGGAAACAAAAATGATCTTTTAAGCTGCCAACCGGACGGACACAAGCTTTATATTGAATCCACTCCATTTCGAGACCAAGCTGGCAAGGCGTGACCACCACCAGCTTGACCCACCAAGTGGCCTTTTATGAGTATAAGTGCCCTCGATGTCTTCATTACAATTTTTCTTTTTGTCAATAGCAATAACTAGTCGTGGCCTTTCTGCACTGATTTTGCCAGTCCTCCTTGGCAAACTTCTTTGCTTGGTCCTTGTCCTGGCGAGGAGGGCCAGGCTTAAGAAGGTGGAGATTCGGGATATCTGTTAGGGTCCAACATGTTTGGGTACAACATTCACACATGCATTGAAAGAAAACACGCCCAACCACCGGTGTATTTTTCATCTATCTTCAAGCAGCTTCCTCCGATCATGAGAACATTTGAAATGCGCTCCTCTCCACCATGGAAAAACCAAGCTTCCCTGTCTCTCAATGGCTTTCCTTCTGCAAATCTTCGAAGGCCGAAGGCCGAAGCAGGCCACAGCTTCACCCGGCCTCCAGCGCCAAGGACTCCACGAAGCCCTGCTGGCTCGCCGTGTGCACCAGCAGTCCAGCCCTGCGTTCGTTCGCGGTCCGTGGTCCGCGAAGAGAAGGACCGGAGAAAGGACTCCTGTGGTGTTATGGCAGTGGGAAAAATGGTGCCAGAAGACGGACCGGTTGACCTACCGGCGATAGGTCAAGCTCGCTACATGGTGTTGGGGGGGATCCAGGGAATTACGCCGCGAGATCAGCAAGAGACAGTGAACGTCTAGCTGACCTTCCAACCCACTCTGGAGCAAGAAGACATGGAAAGCAAAGAAGGAGAATCAAAACAGCACAAGGTTCCACCTGTTCAGGATGTCCTTGCAGCCCCCATCAGGGGGAATTTGCATCTGGACCTTGGCAACGCTAACCCTTCGGTTCCCTTGGACGCACTTGCTGAATTCATTGGGGGCACCACCGCAAGAGACCTTGAGGTGAAGCACATGGCGTGACGGGATCGATCCCAATCACACTCATGGGCGCTGGCCACTATCTTGCCCTCTCTTGTACTTTATCAGGCGAACCGCTTGAAGTCGAAGCTCTTCCGGAAAGTGGAAGTTCCTCAGGTTCGATTGACGGTGACAAGGTCTCCTACAGTACGGCGCATTGTGGGGCTGCTTCGTCTCTTGTGGGTCCACGAGTATGGTAGAAAGGTTGGTCGTTGATTGCCGTCATCTGGTGCCCACACCCCCTGCAGAAACAAATTGAACGAAAATAAGTGTTGCTACACACTGTGCCTGAAATTTGTTTGCTCAGTGAAACCTAATCTTCACACACTCAGGTAATGATGCCTACGAACTGACTGCGGTTTGCCATCCGCCAGCCCAAGAAAAAACCTAAGAAACCAACACGAACGCATTAGCCCTTTAGTGCAAATCACCGTGCGCGAACAGCTTGAGTATTACTTAGAAAGCAGAGAGTCGAGTGAAACAGCAGGTACAAGATACTGCATCCAGTATCTCATCCAACCGAACACCACAGCTTTGTTAGCACGGCGAGGTGAACGGTCGCCGTACCCCCCTGCCACTACATTTGAGAAGCCAACAGGCTACCCGTGAGTCCAGGGTGTCCACACACACACACACATCTCTTCCGAAGGGGCGGTGGCCGTCCTTGCCGGCTCGTGCCCGGACAGAACCCACCCGTTGACCTCCGATGCATTCTCTCCTTTTTCGTCCAGTTCCTTCCGGGTCCGTCTTCGGCCTCAGCAACTTGGCCAACTCCTCCCGTGGCCTCTCCTGTTGCACCAAGGCCTCACCCCAACGCGGCGCTATTCGGGTCGCCGGTCGATCCGCGGGTCAGACCGGTTGAAGCTTTGGTTGGATGAGCTTTCGGTTTGCCCACCAAATGCTTGGGCAAAGCACGTGCCACCTTGGCTTGTAAGATCACCCGACATGCACCATAGAAGGGCCCTTCACTTCCAGCCTCCTAGCCTGGAAGCGATGGTCTCCACCCTACTAGCGATGGCCTGCAACCTCATAGCGATGGCCTCTAACTCAGAGTGGATAGCTCTTCTGTCTTCCCGCGGGCCTTGAGGCACACGGCGGCCGAGGGCGTGTGGTCTAAAAGCTCCACCAAGTGCTGCAGAATGTCCACGCACTCCTGGCGATGGCGCTCTCCACGGAGGACGAGTCGTGCCTGCGGCAGATGGAACGCGTGGGATCAAGTTACTCACTCCTCGTTTTCTGCTCTGCTCCTTTGTGGTGTCATGCCCAAGAGCTGAGAGATGATAGAACTCAGATTTGAATTCACAAGGAGCAGTGGAGACACAACACACAAACAAGTTGGAGGCCATTGCTAGTAGGTTGGAGGCCATCGCTATTAGGTTGGAAGCCATCGCCATTAGGTTGGAGGCC